CATGCATGAGATTTCTCCTCAATCAAAAAACTTTGAAACAACAACTAAAATTCAAAAGAATACTCTCCCGAATCAACAACTAAAATCAAAATATTTGATAAAACTAGAAGTATAAATCCACACTCACTTAAAATAGTTGAAACAAAAATGTAATTTCTTTATTTAGTATAAGGAAGATTATTAGTTGAAATATTTAAAACAGTAAATATAAAGTTATATTAAAACTTAGCTCAACTCCTTATATAACCACTTGAGCTTAGCTCGTTGATTTTAACAAACTACTCAACACAATTTGTACATTAATCCAGCCGATAAATAAAATTTGGCACGACTCATCTATAAGAGCTGAATCTGAGCTCAAGTATCAGAAGTTCGAGATTTTTATTTAGCTCGTTAATTTTAACACACTGCTCAACATAAATCGTACATTAATCAAGCTGGTAAATAATTTTGGTTCGACTCATTGATAAGAGCTGAAAAAGCTCGAGATTTTTTTTTAACTCAGTTAATTTTAACAAACTACTCAACATTAAATTGATTCCGAGCTCAATTATGAGAACCTCTGGATTTGTTTTAACTTATGACCAAGTAGCTAAAAAATAAATATTTGGATTTAGATTAGTTGAGGTGTCACATGCCAGGCGCAGTGTCCCACGTGACCTGTGAGCTGTCCTTAACACAGCTTTTGTCGCTTTATATCCAACACTAGATAGATCTCTCGTAGCTAAATGTTAGTTGAGTAGCAATAAAAATATCTACCATCATGTGTATTGACTTTCCTACCCGCACTCACCGCATAAAGAGGCATTTTACTTTATGCACAGTTAAAGGGCAAACCTGTCAAATAACATCTCCCAATTTCGAGAAAATAAAACCGGAAAATGACACTGAAAAAAATCGTTTTTCCCCATTGCTTATATCACAAGCCACACCTCATCTCGACCGTCCAATATCGTGATTTTCCGAAAAAGAAAATAGGAGGGAAGCAATGTACGCCGTCGATCATTTTCTCTTGCTGGGTATAAAATCACTCTATAGGACTCTGAGGGTCAAGTGAAATTCCTCACTTCCACTACCGACTCACAGACTTCGTGCATCTCCTCGCAAATCTAAAGGTATATCATAATTCATAATATTCATCTCGATTTTTACCTACTTGAAGCTTAGATCTCGCGGCAGAATGTCGGTTTGTGAGAAATCTGATTTAGTGTTTTGTTTGGCAGCATTGCATTTTGTAGATCTTGGTTTGGATTGAGTTGATTAGTGTCTGTTTTTGCCTTTTATGCTTGGGATTGTGATTGAATGTGCAAATTCTAGTAGATCCTGATGTTTATGTGTTCGATTTCATTTATTTGGGGATAATTTTGTATGATTCAGCGTTTTTTTATGTGATGCGTTTTGTGTCCAGCTCGTAGAGAAATGTGTTTCCACTTTGGTATCTTAGCTGCTGAAATCCGAGGATCCAGATGAGATTGGTGGAATTTTGTAGCATTGCATTTTGTAGATCTTGTTTTGGATTGAGTTGGTTAGTGTTTGTTTTTGCCCTTTTCTGCCAGGGGTTGTGATTGAATTTGCAGATTGTAGTAGATCCTGATGTTTGTATGTGTTGGGTTTCATTTATTTGGGTAACCTTGTGTCTGATCCCACGTTTTTTATGTGATGCGTTTGGTGTCTAGATCGTAGAGAAATGTGTTTCCATTTTTCTGTGGTAGCTGCAGAAATCTGAGGTTCTTTGTTGAGATTTGTGGAATATTTGTTGATTAATGCAATCGTTTGCTTTTCTTTCTGATCTACTGTAAGATCTGTGAAGAAATTCAGCTTTATGATTCAAGTTTGTGATATGATGCTATGTCGATATTTGCCTTCGGTTATGAAAGTGCATACCCAAGATCTGACTGTCTTGGTTGGTTTTCTGAATCAGGTTGTCTGTGTTGTTGTTGCTCTATTTTCTATCGGTGACTTCTTTTTAATAGTTAAATAAGTTGAGTTTATACTATAATCTGCAATTGCTTATAGCTCGAACAATGGTTTCTAATGATTTTTGTGATAAATTTTAGGAAAATGAGAGAAATCCTTCACGTTCAGGGAGGGCAATGCGGGAACCAAATTGGTTCAAAGTTTTGGGAGGTTGTCTGTGACGAGCATGGCATAGACCCCACTGGGCGTTATGTTGGCACCTCAGATCTGCAGTTGGAGCGTGTGAACGTTTACTACAATGAGGCTTCGTGCGGCAGATTTGTACCTCGTGCTGTGCTCATGGATCTCGAGCCCGGAACCATGGACAGTGTTCGGACCGGGCCATACGGGCAGATCTTCAGGCCCGATAACTTTGTATTTGGTCAGTCGGGTGCTGGAAACAACTGGGCAAAAGGGCATTACACCGAGGGTGCTGAGCTGATCGACTCAGTTCTTGATGTTGTAAGAAAGGAGGCTGAGAACTGTGACTGCCTTCAAGGTAAACTGATATACTGAATCTCTCGTTTGCCCATATTTTCTATAAATTCAGAAGTGGTGTGCCATTTTTCATTGACACTCCCTTTTTTTTTTCGGTATAGGTTTTCAGGTGTGCCATTCTCTTGGTGGTGGGACTGGTTCTGGTATGGGTACCTTGCTGATCTCGAAGATCAGAGAAGAATATCCTGATAGGATGATGTTGACATTCTCCGTGTTCCCATCACCTAAGGTTTCAGATACGGTGGTTGAGCCGTACAATGCCACACTTTCAGTTCATCAGCTTGTTGAGAATGCCGACGAGTGCATGGTTCTCGACAATGAAGCTCTATACGACATTTGCTTTAGGACCCTCAAGCTGACCACTCCTAGCTGTGAGTATATATTCCTAATGCTTCAATCTTCATCTCTCTTTGCATTGTGCATTCTTGCCTATGCTTCAATTCATCATTTGGTTCATTCCTTATTGATGTTAGTTTTCTTGCATTGTGCATTGTTGCCTTTATGCATATTTGGTTTTTATAATCTTGTCGTGTTGCTTGGATACTTAGGGTGTGTGTTTGTTTATAAATAAACTCAATTCATACTCAAAATCTAACTCAATTTTAATCCAACCACACTATCCTCAATATTATCAATATAATTAAATAATATCAATCAATTATTCTTACACATCACATCAATTTTAACTCACTATTCATCCACTCACATAATTTTAACTAACCATCACTTCACATCATCTCTCTCCCAGTTTTATATCAAATCAACTTAAATTATTTTAATATAAACTCAAAATCCCCACTGACAGTTAACTATACCACCTTTTTTCTAAATTAACCCTGGTTAACCAATAAAATCCATTTTGAGTGGAAATTTTTGTATCAAAGCACGCCCTTGGTTATTCATAAAGTAAAACCATCTCCAGCTTGCTTAACAATTTTTCTTCTCGTTTTTCTCATTTTGAATTCCAGTCGGCGACCTCAACCACCTCATCTCCGCAACAATGAGCGGCGTGACCTGCTGCCTCCGCTTCCCGGGCCAACTCAACTCCGACCTCCGAAAACTCGCCGTCAATCTCATCCCTTTCCCACGCCTCCACTTCTTCATGGTCGGTTTTGCCCCTCTCACCTCCCGCGGCTCCCAGCAGTACCGTGCCCTCACAGTCCCCGAGCTCACCCAACAGATGTGGGACGCCAAAAACATGATGTGCGCAGCCGACCCACGTCACGGCCGCTACCTAACTGCCTCCGCAATGTTCCGAGGCAAGATGAGCACGAAAGAAGTCGACGAGCAGATGATCAACGTGCAGAACAAGAACTCGTCATACTTTGTCGAGTGGATTCCGAACAACGTGAAGTCGAGCGTTTGTGATATCCCACCTAGAGGACTCTCGATGGCCTCGACTTTTATAGGTAACTCGACTTCCATTCAGGAAATGTTCAGGCGGGTGAGCGAGCAGTTTACTGCCATGTTCAGGCGCAAGGCTTTCTTGCATTGGTACACGGGAGAAGGTATGGACGAGATGGAGTTCACGGAAGCTGAGAGTAATATGAATGATTTGGTTTCGGAGTATCAGCAGTATCAGGATGCGACTGCAGATGATGAGGGGGATTATGAGGATGAAGAGGAGGAGGAAGAAGGGATGGAACACATTTGAAGAGAGAGGGAAGGGAAGTATCTTTCTTTATTATGATGTATGTGCTTTTGTNTGTGTCTGGTTCTTGATGTGCTATTATCCCCTATTAATTGTGATGCATGCGCAAACTATTTGGTATGTTGGTGGAATTCATTTGGTAATTGTGTTGCAACTTGCCATGTTGGTGATGGAAATTATTATTATTATTATTATTATCATCATCATTTTGTGTAATATTAGTATCATTCTTTTTATATTTTTTCAAACAATAGCTTTATTTAAAACTCAAAGAAATTAGTACAGCTGAAGTGTCAACCAAAATTAGCTAATCTATTACAAATTTTTATGTCAAAACATTACAAGTATCACACACACACAACAATCAAATAAATTGCCTAACAAATAGATATCTTCGGCTAGAACATCTGCCCCATTACAGGAGGAAGCTCTCAGATTAAGTCTTTATTGCTATAGCCTTGTTATCTACAACTTCTCCTCATTCTTCCTCTGGTTGTTCCAGGCTACTCCATGATATAGGAGCTAGTTTCCACACCATTTTTGCTCTTGAGCAATTAAAAAGAACATTTTCCAGTATGGTGAATATCACTGTTATAATTATTGTTGGTGTATGTATCCGCAGTTGCAGCATGCTTTTGGATATTAATTTTTATATAAATTGGGTATTTAAACTATTTTAATACGCATCATGACCCCGTCTGTACATTTCAGTGCAAGATTCTGAACTTAATCTTGAGTTTATGGTGTGATGAATTGTTTATTACTTTAATTTATTTGGATTCATAGTTCGGAGTTGGGAAAGTACAAATGTATCTATCAAACATACGCTCTCCTCCAAACACCCTACTATATTCTGTGAATTCTTCTTAAAGAAAAAATTGATTAAACCTCATTTGCTATATAAAATTCATCATGAGTTTTTACTCTAGAAGCTTCAGGAAGCTCCAAATTCAAGTTAAAAAAGCTTCAAATAGCAAAATTCATTATCCACAGACATTCAAATGTACTTACTCATCGCACAAAAAACTTGCCCTCTCAATTCTGTCAACATTATCGAAGGCAAGCAGCGACATCTATGGTCACGCTCTTCTATAGCATCTATTTGTTACAGTCGATAATTTATACCGTAAGAAACGGAAGCAAAAATGAAAAGAAAATGTAAGAACATCATCCTCTTGAAATCTCTCCAATTCTCAAACTGTCTCATCTATGGAAACTAGATTTAAGTTATCAAGTATCAACAAAAATCTACCGTCGCCCATTAGCCCGTTGTCTATGCTGGAAACCAGGCCTACTTTGAGCAAAGCTTTGCTTTGGGAGATCATTTAGCTCGACAACTTGTATCGTTCTTTGCTTCTTAGCTGTTGAGAAGCATAACAGAGTCGAGTGAGAAGGATAATCGAGTATTGTTACATTTAAGAAACTATAATTAGATTGCATATATACACTTGAGTTCTGTATAATTGAGAAAAATCGAATCTTTCAAAATTAAAAGTAGCTGCCCCATTTNGACTATGTTTGGTAAACGATAAACTAGCTTATAGCTTTTAAGTGAATTTTGAACTTATGGTTGAAAAGTTAGCTTATATGGTAAAAATGTTTAATAAAATTAGTTGATGATGATAAGCTAGCTGAAATAAAATTTTTAATGGACTAGAAAAGCTACCCAAGAAAACTCATGTTCGAACTTTTAATAAAGTTCGTCCTACCAAACCAAACTTATTTGAATACAGAAAACTTATAAGCTAATCAAATAAGCCATAAACTAGCTTATATGTTTACCAAACACCTTAACAGATAAAGATAAAGATAAAGATAAAGATAAAGGGGTATTTAAGCTATGTTTGGTAAGCCAAATAAGCTAGCTTATAGCTTATTTGATTAGTTTATAAGCTTCTGTATTTAAATAAGTCTCGTTTGACAGGACGAGGTTTTTTAAAAAGCTCGAGCTTATTTAATAAGCTACTTTAGGTAGCTTTTCAAATAAGTAGTTGAATTTTTTATTTCAGCTAGCTAAACTAATTTTACCAAACACTTTTTATCATATAAACACTTTTTATCATATAAGCTAGCTTTTTAGCTATAAGTCACAAGCTATAAGCTATGAGCTCATAAATTACATATAAGCTATAAGTTAGCTTATCAGCTATCAACTAGTTTTACCAAGTATAGCCTTAATGGTTCTGTAATTTAAACGGAACACTATGATAGGTCAGTTGATGTACCTTTCCTGCTGTCAAATAGCTTGTTATAATAATAATAGAAAAAGAAAAAAAAAAATCACATTCTCTCTTTTTCTGTTTCGAATTTCAAAAGACAGAGCAAACTAACCGTTTTCTGCTTCTTGATATCGTTCCTGCAGTTTCCTCTTAGCAGCCTCTAATTTCGTCCGAACGAAATCCTCATTGTTACACCGCAACTCCTGGCAGAAGAAAATTTACAGCACTAATTTCTTTATTATTATTAAAAAAAAAAAGAAGAAGACAGGTAAAGCTCGAATCTATCTTCATAATCAACAATAAGTCACTAACCTCTTGTTGATTAGGGACTGGTTTCTTCTGAATTGTGACTTGATCAGATTTTTTCTGGGCTGTAATCTCGTCTTTCACCTTCATTTGCATGCCCGGTTTAGGTTTTATGATGCCATTGTCATTGTTTGGAGGTTTCGGTCGATTGGGCCCACATGCATGGGCTGATTTTCTCAACATAGGTTCTTGATTTTTCTCGAAATCCCTTTTAGGGAAGGGGCCCGTTTTTTCGGGTCTCCGCTTTCTGCCATTTTCTCGGTTCTTGTTGAATTCCCCACAGTTTTGAGGATCTGTTAAAAATTTAAATCAACATCCCCAAATTAACACAATTTAACCTTTTTCTTTTATTTTCTTTTTTTGCTAGTGGGGAATTCGAATGAAGAACCGAATAGCAAAAAAGCGAAAACTTTGTGAATAAGTCAAAAAACACTCACTGCCATCGTCATCCATGCCGTCAAAGAACTTTGTGAGTCACGTTCGACAAAGCATGACAAAGAAAAAATCGACAGTCAGTACACCAATAAAACCAAATAAAAATAAAGCAAACCCAGGAAAATATAGAAACTGCGGCCATTTTTCGAATTATTTGGCAATGTCAGCAAATTTGTCGGTCGTGGAACAGAATAAGCAGGACTGTTTTTGCAATCTTTATAGTTAGCCGGGTTTTATCGTAAATAACATCAATCACAGGGGTGAATTCATAAAACGGGAAAGAAGATATAACACCTGTGACAACTCCATTGAAGTTGGTGTAGCAAAGAAGGCTCCCTCGTCGAGCGGAGGAGAAGGAAGACCTTCATCTTCTTCAACGGCAGATGTTTTTACAGACTCTGTTGTGGCCTCGGCACCTTTTTAAAGGTTTTTTGGAAGCTTATTAAATTATACAAAACAATAAAAATAAAATAAATGAGAAGACATTGTAAGAATAATAAATGAGCTTAATTCCAAGTTACCTGCAATTGCTGTCGTCGCATTTACCCACTCGTCGACCATGATTTTCCAATTACTGCATTATTCATTAGAGTGTTTGTGAGAGAGTTTTCTACTTGTAAATACTGACAAAAAAATCAAAATAAAAAGAAAAAAGCTAACCTCGACTTTCTCAGAAATGACAAGAACTAAGTCAATAGATNNAAAACGGGGACACAATTTTCCTATTATGCATAAAATAACACCACGGGAATTTTATAGAAACAATAGGAATTGTTCCGGTTTTCATAAAACAAATAAAAAGTACCCTTTTGAAAACTGGAAAGACTTCTCTTTAGCACGACACAGAAAAGTTGAAGCAAATGCAAACACAATATGATGTCAACTTCTTTCTCACTTACACTCACATTTTTACGTAAAAGAAGTGGGATTGAACTAATCAACAAGATAACGGTCAAAAAGTACACTGACGTGTGTAACAAGCATTAATCAAAGACCTTGAGGCGAAAAACATACTTGATTAATGTCCTAGCAAGATCTCGAATTTCTGTTGATCTATGCTTACGCAGGGCATTAACAGATTTACCGATTTCTGTCGTCTGTAAAAGAGACCAAATCAAACAACCATGGTTATTACCAAAAAGCGTAAAACAGTTAAATGCTACAACCAACCAGCAAATAGTCATAAAGTAAGGCAAAATTTCAACAGAACCTTTAGAGTCTCCACAGACAAATGCATCAACTGAAGCCTTCTCAGCGAAGCAAACAACACCTCATCCGACTGCAACCAACAAAAATTATAATATAAAAGAAGAAACAAAAAAAGGGCAATGATTAAAACCAGAAACTGCCATAAAGTGTAAACCAATCATAACCCAACAATCAAAGAAGGAAACAATAGTAAATATGATCATAAACACATCAACAGAGCATCTTATTAGTGAAGATAAGCCAAGGCCTCAAATCCGAAAGTGCAGATCTAGTAAAACCAAATCAAGAATCAAGTAAAATGTTTCGAAATCTGTAAAGCAATCAAATCCATCCATTCAAACTGAAAAAACAAAGCAAACAAAAGACATCCCATCTTCACAATCATGAAAGAAAGCAATAAAAAGGTCATCCAATTTCACTTCCATTAATTAAAAAAAAAATAAGGAAAAAGAAAAATCAACACAAACCTCATGCTCCCCATTGTCAACAATTCCTCTTATCCTCAAAACCTCCTCACAAAACCGAGCAGCCTCCTCAAGCTCATCGGTCAAAGCTTCAGCATCTCCATAGCTAGAATCTCTAACACGGTGATTATTCAAATTCATCTCCACAATCTCTTTGTGATCATCATCATCATTATTATCTCTTCTCCTATTCAGTTTTCTCTCTTGTGTATCTTTACTTCCTCCTCCTACCTCAACAATACCACTTTTGCACTTATCATCATCATCATCATCATCATCATCATCAATATTCTTTTCTGCACAATCACTTTTGGGCACAGTCAACTCAACTCGATCACAGCCAAAACACTTGGTGATTTTACAAGTGAAGAGCATCTCAGCTATTCGATCCCTTTTCAATTTGAATTCATAAGGGCTATCTGAAGCAGCTACCATTATTGCATGCTCGATTATATTAAATATGTCCGAATTTGCACCTCTGAAATAATCCCTCCACTTATCAAGTCCAATTGAAGTGTTGGCCATGTTCAAAATTTTGAGGAAGGAAAAACCCTATACTTTAAACAGAGCCCGGACTAAGAGAAGGGGAGGTTTAGAGTTTGTTGAAACCCAACCCTGATAAACTCCCAGATCGCAGACTGGATTTTTATTGCAATTTTTTTGTTTTCAATGAGAAAAACTCATAACCCAGAAATTTTGATGGGGCTTACAGAAGAAAGAAATCGAAATTATGTAACGAAAACTAAAAGCAAGCCAGAGATGAAGACGAAGTCCGAAGAGTGATGATATTCAAGCAGCAGTGGTGGCAATTTTTTTTTCCTTTTTTTTTAAGAAAAAAAAAATACCTAAATATTGTTCTGCAAACTGCTTCAAGAAACCTAGTAAAAGCTGGAAAAGAAGTAATAATGATCTAAAGGGAGAGTTTGTTTGGGAAAGAGAAAATTGAAAATGAAGCAATCCACTGAAATCAATACAGAAATTCAGAAAAAAGCTTGCCGATTTAGGGAATCAGAAAAGAGTGAATGCCAAAAGTCTCTGTAGAGTGCAAATACAAGGTGCTGCTGACTGCTGAGTGCTAAAAAACCGTGTGAAAATAAATAAATAAATAAATAAACAAATTTTGTTTTATATATCTTTTTCTCGTGTGGTTTACTTTTTTATTATTATAATACATCTGATATACTACGTAGTACGTATTACTTGCATAATATTCTATAGACATTATCATATCATGATTTTTTTAAATAAATATGAGAATAAGCAATTGGATATTCTTTAATCGCATTTTATGTGACATATCTTGTAAGATTAATCACATTTTATGTGACATATCTTTGTAAGGCGAGTACATCAATCATACTTTTGATAAACATAAAAAATATATACTTATACTATAAAATAATATACTTTTATTTACATTTATAATAATATACTTTTTATTTACATTATAATTTAAAATATGTAAATCTGTTAAAAAAATATGACTACCTAACAATAATTTAATTGTCAGTATTTTTTTTCATTTGATAAAAGGTAGTGAATAATTAGTGATTACTTTAATGTTACAGCAATGGAGAGTTTTAACTATATTTTATTTTCTTTTTATTTTTGCAATCGGTACAAAATCTTGTTCGAATTGAGAGAATAGAATAAAGTTGGGTAAATAAATAAAATGGTGTGAATAAAATTATAATATTTAATTGTCTTGTGATAGGAGGAATAATAAAATAATAGTGAATAGCTATAAATACTTGAGTGTGTTAATGATAGATTTTATAAATCGATATGTATTAATAATTATATTGTATTGAAAAAATACTAAAAATATAAATATTGGAGTAGAAAAATGCATAAGTCATATATTTTTTATTAATGGATGAACTAATAAAATAGAATAAAAATGCACTCAAATTTTTTTGAATATTTTTGTTTGAGAATAATCTTTCACAAGCTCTAATTTTGATGTTTTTTGTTAATGAGAGTAATCTTGCACAAACTCGTTTTGGAGGACTTATGTAGAACCAGTTTTCAAGAAAGTCTTTTGTGCTTTTTTTAATAAAACATTTAAATTGTATAGTCAACTTATTCATCATTCTTTATTAAACTACCAAATATAAATTATTATTAAAATGAACCTTTACACAAAAGTCCATCTTAAAAGTGTTTAAAATTTAAAATTAATTAAAAGAACACTCATATCGTGGTCTTTTTGTAGGTTATAATTTAATGGAAAGTGTAATACCTATTTTTCGCTTTCATTGTTTTCTAAATTAAAGATTTAGAAAGTTTTCAAAATCATTTTAAGGTAAATAAGAAATTAATATTAAGTCGTATAAGTGAAAAATTAAATATAAATTTAAAACAATTGAGTTAACATGTTTGGATGGGTAAATCAATAAATCTACAATGTAACTCCTGTTAAATGTTGTATCGTTGGTGTAACTTCGTGTTAGTAAATAGTTTTAGATAGAATTGTTAAACAAAATTAGCCGCTCATAAGTTTGGCTTTACTCTTTAAAGTTTGAGTTTGGCACAAACAAACTGAGCTTAAGCTTGTCTAAGGTATAATTAATGAACGAGCCATTAAGACTCGAAAATAAGAATTTTTACATGATTTTTTAAACTTTTATAACTCATTAACGGGCCGGAATCCAATTTTTTTATCGGCTCGAGTCGACAAAGGTTTGAGTCTTAACAAGAGTATCTCTTGTAAACGAGTTCTAGTTTTGGATAAGCTTAAGTACTTTAAATTATATTCTTATCTCATTTTGCAAAGTGTATAAGAAAGTAAAAACGGTTAAGAGTCCATTAGAAGTTTTTCTAAAAGAAGGTAACAGAATCACTTTAACTTAATTTTGCAATTGCTTTCGATTAATTCATTTTTATGTGACATAACCTTTCATCGTCTTTCACACAAAAATTATTATAAGCCAATAGAAAAAATGAAACATGATAATCTCTCTTGACCCATCTCCTAATGATTTCTCTTTTTACGACCAACACATCTTTTGGGCAAAACTTCGAACTCACAAAATAAACAAACGTGTAAACTACAAGTTTAAATCATACATTAGTTGTTTTATTTTTAAACTTTAATAATAGATATCAACCCAATAAAATATAAGTTAGGTAGCATAAAAATATACAACGTGTTCTAGTTAGAAATGGATCAAGCAACAATTGTATGCTACGAGAAAAACAACTAATAGTGTGTTTGATAAATACTGTTAGCTTATAAGTTTATTTGATTAACTTATAAACTTTCTGTATGTAAATAAGTTTTGTTTGATTGGACAATTTTTTTGTTGAAAATCTTGATCTTATTTCATAATCTTCATTGAGTAACTTTTTAAATAAGTCCGTTGAAATTTTTAGTTCAACTAACTTATCAGCTAATTTTATCAAACATTTTTATCATATCAAGTAGTTTTTCAACCATAAGTCATAAGTTATTAATTATAAGCTCGAAATTCACTTATAAACAATCAGCTAACTTATCAACTATCGGTTAGCTTATTAATTATGTTTACCAAATACAACATAGTAATACAACTAGCACCACAAAATGTGGTAAAAGTATAAGGCGAATGCAAAACATAACTAATGAAATCTAAAAGTCGAGAGCTATAATACCAAATTAGGAAGTAGTTTTATCAACGGTTTCCTCACAAAAATCGTGTCTCATGCCATAATGGATAGCTCGAAAAAGATATATCTATGTGAATCAGTTGGTTGTTATTTATGTGATTGATAATATACAAAAATTGCATTCTTAAAAAGAGTATGTATGATTTGCCATTAATATATAACTTCAATAATAAATTTAACAGAAAATTAATCTTGAAAATCATTTAATTTATTACTATCATTCTATACTAATAATCACTTTCCCATAAATAATTTAGTTAATTTCAATGTACAAGTTGCAAGGTCTTGAATATAAAAAAAAATAAAAAAAGAAAGATAAAGATAAGAACAAAGATTGGAGGTTTGGTTGTTCTGTAAAGACAGGAGACTTTTGGCGTATGTAGTATAATTGCGGATAGGGACTCGAAGTTCACGTGAATGGGACGTATTATTGACGTCCACGTGCCAGATTATTACTGGACAGATAAAAATTTAAATACGTACATCTCAAATCTCAATACTCGGCAACTCGAAATCGCGTGACGTTGTGCTCTATTGCCGATGAAACTCAACTTATTTGTTACTTTTATATTTTATTTTATTAAACTAATAAAACCTATATACCTATCATAAATTCTATTTTTTTTATCAATTTTAAAATCAATAACTAGTAAATATAAACACTATTCACTATTGATTTTTATATTATCAATTTTAGAATCAATAATTATAAACATAAATTTTATTTAATATCAATCTTTTATATTAAAAATATGGAAGATTATTATTCCTACTGATTAAACTTATTGGATCACGTGCTAATTTTAGTTACTTCAACGTGTTTGACTACATGTGTTTTCAAATATTGAACAATAGTTTGGTTAACTTATTTTGAGTTCTCTTCATTGAAGACAATGATTAGCTACACGTAAAAAACATCCTAATATTAATAGTTTAACTTTTATTAGGATAATCTCTTTAGACATTCTATTTCATTCCACATAATCCTCATATTATTATTTCACTAAAAATCTTTACATTTAAACACTTCCACAATGTTTGATGCACTTAAATACATATAGGCGTAGTACTTGATTTGATTGAATAATCCTTATGTATAGTAAGACCAATATCATAATTTCTTATACGGCATAAACAAATTAATTTATTGATGTTTATCAGACACATTATTCATTTAATAATACCAAAATCAGAGCTCAAACTTATAATGAATTAGTAAAAATAAATTAAAAAATAGAAAAATGAGAGGAATGACCAAGAATGATACATGACACTTTCTTGTATTTTATGGTGATTACTGATTCAACACTATGCAAAAAAGTTAGGTTTTTAGGACCACTATTATTAAAAATTATTTTTTTTCCTAAGGGTCGGTGAGTTACAAATATTGGAGACAGAAAATTATTAAATTATTTTGTCTAATGCCAATGGTACACTACTTTGGTTGTAATTGAGAAGTGGCAAACACATGATTATTTAAATTTAATAAGTGCACTCATAAAATATAATACACAATCTATACTTATATAATAAGAATTAACATTTATCCAAAATAGTAGGTCAAATTATGGTCAATGTCGGATTTGCATTAAATATTTTCCAAAACCGGTAAGTTTTTGTCCTTTTCACACTTCTCATTAATTATGTCCTTTTCACACTTCTCATTAATTATGTCCTTTTCACACATCTAATTAATTCATTAATTACGACATAATTATCATAAATCATTCCATCTGATCTTTTATCGTAGCGATCTGTTATGACCTTATCCCATTGATATTTCCATTAAGCGTTCTTATCGCGTTCTATTTTTTTGTAACCACTCTATATCAATAACTGGATATTTGGTTAATGATAGCACACGTCTTTGTTTCAAGGAGCGGATATTCTTTTATCTTTAATTAATCTGAACTGATTGCCTTAACTTATCAATTTTTAAAAACTCTTTTTTTTAAATATTTCGGCTTAAGATTCGGATTTCATTATACAAGTCATCGGATTGTTTGAATGAAAATGAATGAAAAGAACACCAAACACAGGTAGTCTTATTCATATAACCAATCATAAAATATTAGTTTGTTCACCAAAAAGAGACAAATCCTAAAAATCCTAAAATATTAGTTTGTTCACCAATCCTAAAATATTAGTTTGTTCACCAAAAATATTAGTTTGATTTTTAGGATTTGTCTCTTTTGAAAATATTAGTTTGTGATAATGAGGAGTTACCAAATAATCAAACTCATAATGTTGTGTACAAGGAGATTTTTAATAATATATGATTGTTACCGAACTTTTTATGATTCAACAATGTTCCTATATACTTTAATGATTTCAATTTCGATCCTAATGTACGTGAGGTTATATTATTCTTCTAAATTTTACATCCCGTGCATCGCACGGGTTACGTACTAGTAAGAATAATAAGCTTTGTGTGTTGTACCACTAATCCAATTTAGAGAAAATTTAACGGAGGGCCTTTGTGTCATTCTATCATTTAATTGGGGGATGATTGTGATATTTATAAAGACAGGCTGTACTTTATGATAATTGATAAATGGGCGTTTTAAATAGACAAATTAGAAAAGGGCTTTGTCGGATGACGTGTCATATCCTGATCCCTATCATATGTGCTGTAGTAGGTGGTGACTTTATCTTATTTGGATGTGACCAAATTTCAATTATTTGGACTATAAATACGGACCGGACTAATGAGTGATGATTAACCGGGCCGGTCAAGTACTTAATGTTGGGCTACGATTTTCATGGGCCGTTCCAATCAGGCCAACTCATCAAAACTCATGTTCAGCAACGAACAAGGTTGGACTGAGATAGATATTTAATTTTTAAATAGACATAAAATTTTAAGTAATAAAATTCATGTATATAATATTTTTTTATTACATATTTAAATATCTAAACTAATTGATACCATAGTATATACATACCAAACATATTGAAATATGTATTTTATCAATATTCAAAATATTAAACTAGTTTTTTTTTTTTTTAATAAAAGAAGTGTACCGATTCAATCGACTGGTTTTGACCGGTACTTTCAAAACCATTTTTTTCACAAAGGATCTGACTCGAAAACCGATCCGGTTTTCACAACCATGTCCGCAAACAAATCGTCAGCCTAACCAAATTGTTTCAAACCCCAGATTCCCATATTCCCCCTTACAAAAGATTCACAAAAATCCCCATTATCAGCAAAAGACAAACCCCTGCAATATGCATTAATTACATTATTACACATTCCACCCCAGACCACCGTCCACCACCACCACCGGAAAACGAAACTCAAACTTCACAAATTCATCAAGACACCAAGCTCATCCCTACTAATCTCCCTTTGACCCTTTTGCCCTTTCCCTCCAAAAGCCCGCCTCGCCAAAGCCCTCTTACTCTCCTGCAACCTCAATATCCTCTCCTCAATCGTGTCCCTCGCTATCAACCTCACGATTTTCACGTCCTCCTTTTGCCCGATCCTGTGCACACGGTCCATCGCCTGCTCCTCCACCGCCGGATTCCACCACGGCTCCACCAGATAAACCCTAGATGCCGCCGCCAGATTAATCCCTGCATTCGAGGCCTTGAGGCTTGCCAGAAGGACCGTGGGCCCGTCGGGCCCGCTGAACTCCCTGATCACTTGGGCCCGTTTCTTGGCATTCATCGACCCGTCTAGCCTAACCACATCGAAGCCCGCTTCCCTCAGCGGGCCCTCGAGCAAGATCAGCAATTTGCGGAACTGCGAGAAAACCACCGATTTGTAAGGCGGGTCGTCTTTCGCGTCACGAGATGCTTTTAAGAGTTTTAAAAGGGCTGCGGCTTTGGAGGATAGTGTGGAGGAGGATTTTTCGGTGGGTTGGGCTTGGGTCGGGTCTTGGGGGGCTTTGAAGAGGTCGGATTCGGAAAGTGGGTTTCGGCACATGGGGCAGTTGGGTTTGGTTCGTTTGAGGGTTTTGACGATGCAAGGCCCGCAGAAGATGTGGGCGCAGCATGTTATGATTGTGTCGGTTGGTGGGGATATGCAGATGGGACAGTCGAAGTCCTCGCCGTCTTGGAGCACGGAGAGCAACTTTTGAAGAAGTGTCGGGTTGTTCTTTACGTCTGCATGCATTTTTCTTTTTTCGATCAGAACGCAGAAATATAGAATGGCAACAAAAACGACGATGACTGGCAGTAAATGTATGGGGCTTGCTTGTTTACAAATATATATATTGGTATTCGATTGGTTTGTTTTGGTTAACCATGGTTAACATTGAAAAAGTTGGTATGGTTAGTCGTTAGTGGGATTTCAAGTTTGTAGTAAAATAATATTTAAAACAAAATAATTAAAATTGATTTTGTTGTAAAAGTAGGAGATAAATGATGGATTGATATTATTTAATTATATTGATAATATTGAGGATAGTGAGATTGAGTTAGATTTTGAGTTGAGATTGGAATTTTTTTGGTTATATTCATAAACAAACACACTCATAGATTTTCTGCAATATACCCTAAGTAGATGTCAAATCTGAAAGAGAACTGTTTCATGAACCTCAATTGTGAATACTATAATTAGTCCTATCGTCACACAACTCAATTGAACAGAAGTGAAACCAGGAAACCAAATGCAAACGACTCAAGCCAACTAATATATTGTCCCGCATGGAACTTGAATTTGGAAAATCGACTCAACTAGAGACCGAGTCAAACTTAAGGTGAAAAGGGAGGATGGCTGAGAGAAATAATGGAACAAAACAGAAAACAACACAAAGTATGCAATGAATTAAACTACATAAAAAGCACGCGGAATTCAATCACTGCAAGATGGGAGCATGAACATACCATAGAACAGTTCAATTCGAAAAAATTACCTTCAATTTGACTAGGTAGAGTTAAAGTTCTGAGATCTTCAGGGCAAAGAGCCATATCCGTGCATACCTGGCGAAGCCTCACGAGTATGCTAAGAACTGTAGAATAATTTCTCACCATATTTTCATCAGAAATGTAGGCCTTAACGAAATTCCTGGCTTCTTCTTCCATCTGGTCATATATCCTGCGTTCTTTTTCAGAGAGGTTCACATAAACGGTCTCTATGCTTTTGGCTGGAAGTCCAATCAAACCTTTATCTTTTGTTCTCCTCAAAGATATGGCTGCCATAAGAACCTGCAAGCACGCAAAGATATTAATTCAAAAGGTGAGAAAAAGAATGAAACAGATAAGAAATGAACTTACAGCGGGCATTCAATCATTCTCACAGACTAAAACAAAATGTGTACAGAAAGATTTGGCAATAAGTCACTATTTCTTTGGTAAGTGGACAGAGCATGAATCTAAACAACAATCATCAGTCTGTATTTCCATCTAATTTCCAGAGCAAGAGAATGCCCTATAACTTTACTCTGGAAGCCAAAGTCAACAAGCATTCATCAACATTAAAGGGGACATTTTAAGTTTCATTTTTTAACTAATCTTTGGAGGTCTGTTTCTACTCAGGTTTGGAAAAATCTAGATCCACTACCAGAGCACAAAACACAAATAGAAGACTCAGTAAAGAGACATAAGACTACAGACAGCTTTATATGTATTTAACCTGCAGCCGAGAGACACCTTTCTCATCTCCTTGAGCAAGTGGGCGTTGAATCAGACTATTCCAAAGGCCTTTTACAGAAAGAGGTTCGAACTTCAGGAAAGCCACTAAAGAAAAAAGATCAAAAGAGTTATTCTGCACGGGTGTCCCTGTAACAGCCCATCTACACTTAGCATTCAGATTGGTGACCGCACGACTCTGTTGACTGCTCACATTCTTAATCACATGTGCCTCATCCAATATAACCCGTCTCCACTCAATCTTCTTAATAGGACAATTGCCACAATACGCCTCACTGGCAAGTGTACTGTACGTTGTTAGCACAATGTCGTGCTTCTGAAGCTCCTTAGTATCTTTAGTCCGTTCTCCATAGTAAATGTACACTTTGAAAACACCCTTTCTTGTGTGCTCTTCTAATTGAGTAATCCAAGCTGAAAATACAGAAGGTGGGCAGACTATCAGTGTAGTCATCGGGTCAGAAGAAGAAGAGGATTTTTCAATGGCAGGTCCTTTTCCCTTTTCGTTAGCATTAAAATCCCCGATTTTTCTCTTTTTGGCCAAGTTCACGGCCTTTTTGCTCCCTCTTCCTCTCTTAGACGCTTTACTAAGAAATGCACTATGTTCCTCCTCATTATCATCAACATCCATATAACCAGAAGAATTTGCAGCGCGGGCCTTATCCAGAGCAAGTAATGATAGCAATGTAAGAGTTTTTCCCAACCCCATATCGTCTGCAAAAATGCCACCCCTCAAAGGCTCAGGTCTTATATCAGTCTGGTAGTTTGTTAATTCATTCACATAAATCCCATTTTTTTCTTCCCAAAAAGGAGGCAATTCTTTTGAATTCTCCCTACTAACCAACCACCCCAGACCTTCTTTCTGATGGGGAAAGAGCTCGGACTTTATCATATCTTTTGGCGGCTCTAATGCCTCTGAGGTCTCTTTGCTAACTTTCAAGTCCAACAGTTTAAATATCTCATCCACACTCTTCTCTGCGACACTACCTTTTTTCTCTTTCACAGCCACAGACTCGGATAATGTAAAAGACGCATTGCTTTCTGAAATTAACTGCAACCCACCAATTCTGATTTGTACTTTCACTCTCGTAAATTCGTCTGCCCTCGCAAAAATGTGGATTTGACAGGGAAGCTTGAATCTACTTCCTTTTCCAGGTGGTTTTGGGACAATACCTACGTCAAATACTCAACAAACAATATGAATAAAACCCCAACAACACAAGAGAGTATTACATTGCAATCAATTCAAAACGATAAAATTTCAGGAAGAAGCTTAGCACCCAACTAGTTAAGTACTTATAACTTGCATTCTTCAAACATAATGACCAAGAATGCGCGAAAGAATTAAAGAAAATAGCTCAAATGCACTTCCACGCACGCACGCGCGCGCGCACACACACACAAACATACACACTTTATTCGTCGGAAATCAAAGCTCACCTTCAACAGTGATCAAATTAGCATCGATTAAAGGCGACAGAACGGCCGCCGTAGCCCGCTCGATGTATCCGACCTGCACCGACCTCATATTGAGAACTTTAATGGCGTTCGCGTCGTGCGGGTTCAGGTCGTCGCGGACCAGACCCACCATTTCCCGTCCGCTGATCCTCCCCTCGTAGTAACGCAGCCCGACCACGTTGGCGATAACGAAGCCCACCAGAAGCGTGTCGGTCGGCGGCTCGTCGGCGGCGGGGGACGACGGCCAGGACTCCAAGCTCATGAACACCTCCACCGGGTCATGCCGGTCCTGCGATTCCGATTCGACTGCCGACATGATTCAGGAAAGGGATTCGATTGAGATTTGAGAAAAGAGGGTTTTTGCAATTGGAGAAGAAACTGAATTCTGAATAGGGTTTGGTTTGCCTTTCTGAAGCGGTTTGTTTTGTAGTTTTGTAACGTAAAATGATTTTTTTTAAAAAGGGTACAAAGGCGGGTCTAGGGAAGAACAAGTGTTGTAAAGTGTGTTGAGGGTTTATGGCGATAAATAAATAAACAATAAAAAATAAATAAAAATAAAAAATAATTTTTGAGTCCAACTTCGAATTGAAAAGTGTGAATGTGTGATAGTATCCACACTCAATTTTAGGATCAGCAAGTCACTTGAAGATTATCGAATCGAGCTACAAATCGAACTGAATTAATTTTGAATCGAAAAATATCGTAATTGTTTTACTATTTTCGAATCGAACCGAATTGTACCGAAATTTTTTTTTTTTCTTTTTATAATGTTCTGGAGATTCATAAAATATCTGTACTGAGAATCGAACCAAACCATACCGAACTGAGGAACCGAACAATAACTGACTTCAATTTATAAAATATATATATACATATAATATTTTATCTTATTCTTTCTTTTTTATCTTTGTACATAATTGTATTTAAAATTGAAATGCAAATAAAATCCATATGCATAATGTCTATGTCCATAAAACTATCAGAAATTATATTTAAAATTGAATAAGAAATAAGTCTCCACTATTGAATGTTAATCGAATTTAATAATTAAAAAAATAATTATTTTATTTTTATACAGTTATTAGACACTATTAAATCTAAGATCTCATTTTTAAATCAATGTTTTACAAAGAAAATTAAATTAAGAAATTCAGTAACAAACATGTCAAATATTTTACTAAAAAAGTCATTAATTATAACTTAATTAAATTCAAATATCGAATGTTTGGAAACTCGCCTTTATAAAGTAAATCTTTCACAAGATTTGGAGAGAAATACTTACTTCAAAGTGATATATTTTCAAATTAAAATAAAATGATAGATACTACTATCATAATATTGGATTAAGAACATATATACCGATTACTTCATGTCCAGCCTCCAGCACCGCGTGGTCACCTTCTGCCGGAGTAGTTGGCTCTCGTGCCTTCAAGCCCCACGTCCATGGTATCTTTTCGAGCCTTCTATCGTTTCTTGACGACTCCCCTCCCTCCCCAGTGTTGAAAGTCTTCAAAGCCCAGATATGGTCCGAGATTTAACTCCTCGCCAGATGTATCTAGGCGGTTCGATTTTAGCCGCGATTTTTGGGTTTGGAGACTAGGTTTGCTGTTGTGTTCAGTTTTTGTATTGCGGACCTTGCGGTGTTTGGTGCAATTAGCAGTTAGGGTGGTTGTTCGGTTTGCCGACGAGGTTAGGGGACGTCTCATTTTTATAATTTTTTAGGTGTGCGTTGTTTTTTTCATTTGTTTTTCTTTGTTTTTTCGTTTTGTTAAGTTGAGAGCCATATGGCACCTAGTCTCCTAGATGAAGTTAGAGTCTCCTTTATGAAATTTTGTTTTGCAGTTGTGTGTATTTCCTTGAGGGAGTTGTACTCCATTGGTCGCATGTGTATATACAAGGAGGGTTGGTGCGGACGTTGTTCTGTTTCTATTGGTGTCCGTTGACACTTCGGTTGTACTGTGTTAAATTTCTTACTTATTAATATAGTTGCCGTTTGAAAAAAAGAAATTACTTGAAAATTGTTACATTTGTATACAGGGGAGATTTCATTATCTTCTCACTTTTTTCCTTTTAAAAAAAAATAAGATCAAATTATTTTGCACTTTTCTTAATTGATTCATTTTTCAATTAAGACTCAAAATTTCAAAAAAAAATTAAATAAATAAATAAATTAAAAAACATAAAAATAAAAGATTTCTTGAAAAGAACTTAGGGACAGATGATGGGGTATTGTATGGTTTTCCAGAACAAATTTAGAACTCACTAGGGTATAACTGTCATTTTCTAATATGACTAGCAAACATTTATCTGACTTATTAACTGCTCCAAACTCCATAAACAAAATTACAATAAAAAAAAAAAAATAANTTTACTCTGTTCTCCCATTCCAATTTCTCCATAACCAAAATTCCGTTGTTTGGTTAAACAAAAAAAAAAAGAAGAAAAGAGTTAGCATTTTATTGTTCATGCCATGACTCAGGCTCCTCACAAGAACAAAATTCACTGTTTTTGCTTTCTTATTCTGTTGTTAATTTTACTTCTAGAGAATAATCCATGTTGTGCTGTTGGCAATGGTAAATTTACCAAAGGTAAAAATGTTTCATTTCATGCCTTAAATGGCTTGAGAAGAAGAAGAGCAGCTGTAGATAAGAGCAGTAATTCACAAGATGTTTTTGGAAATGAAAAGAGGAGAGTGTACTCAGGCCCAAATCCTCTGCATAACAGATAAGTTGTAAGGTTTTTATTTATTTATTTATTTATTTTTCATGTTAGAAATTAGACTAGCACTGTATCAAATTTTTTTCCCTATATTTTTCTGTTTACTTAACTTATAATTTTTATTTTCAGTTGATGCATGCAATGCCAAAAGTTAATGATATTATATTATATGCCTGCTTGAGCTCTTTAATTAGAGTTTAGAGTACATGATTTTTGTTATTATTTCTTTAAGCTGACAGTGAATAACTGATTGAATTAGTAGATATAACCAATTGATTGAACTTAAGGATCACCTAAAATATTTGGTAAATAATAAATAATTAGTTGGTTGATATATAGTGAAATAACTAAAAATTACAATTTCTGTATTATGAAAAAATATAGTGAGATTTTTTTTAGAATTGGCGTTTTGTATACATATCAAGCCATTCCGAATAGTTACTTAACAAATGACTCAAATCTCTAGTTTGCCTTCAAACCTCTAATTAAGTAATTAGACCTTTATGATTTGAGTAAATAGTTAATTATTTTTATTTGATTGAGGATGACATCAAAGATATTTATAGTATGGTTTGATATACAAGCACCAATATGACTATAAACTTCCAAGTATATTAAGGGCTTAGCTTATGGTTTGGAACTCATATTGGGTGGAATAGTTGTTACATAATTATAAAGTATATTGTTTGGTTGAATTAAATATATAATTAAAACTTAATTTATCAACATAACTCAAAAGACACAAGCTAAGTGGAAAAAAAGCTAGGAAACATATAATGACAAATAAATATTTCATTATTTATGGTAAATTATTTTCAAACAGACAAAATAAAATGATAAAATAATTGTTGTTTGTGCTGTGCAGTTGCTCAAGCCCTGGGTCATAATTAATAATATTGTCCTTATATAAGCCTCTGTACATATTGAGAAGGAAACAAGGGGCACGCAATAAACAGTATTTATGAGCTTTTGTTATCTTATTCAAATATTTTTGACCCACCTCTTCAATTTGTTTATAAAATAAAAATTAAGAAAAAAAAGAACTCATCATATGTTTCTGGAATTATATATGTAGGAATCATATTTGATCAGTATGATAATTTTTTCATTGGCCCATATTGTTAGAGGGCTATGTTTNAATTAATTAAGTGGAAATATTAATAATATGTATATGTAAAGTAGTGTGGTTTAAAGAATAATAATTAATTTACCACGAGCTTGTAGCTCAAATGACTGGTTTGGTTCGAATTTTATATTTCAGAGTTAAATTGAAATTTAAACTCTATTCCCTTCAATCCCCCGTAACTATTAAAAGGGAATAATAGTTAATATTGAAGTATTAGGGAAATGATAAAAATGGGAATTAGTGGTTGAGTGGATAATTAATAATTAGTACGTATTTCATGCCATGCATGGGATAGAGATATTAAATGAGTTATTTTTACAGTCTTGTCCGTTTAAGTCTAAAAGGTAATAGAATTATTATCTATTTTCTACCTCTTTTAATCAACGTTGAGTCTAAAAAACAATAGGGTTATAAGCTTTTTTCCACATCTTTTAACCAGCGTTGTTTTTTAGCCAGAACCTTAAATATAAGCATGTTAAGGCTAACTTGTAAAATAATTAATATATTATCTCATTAAAATATTTATACTAATAAAAATTTAATTTTAGCATATAAATTTATCCCTTGATATAAGAGAAATTAACAGTTTTACTTATTCTTATTCACCATATAATATTTAATAATTATTTTCTTATATAATAAAAAGGAATACTGTTTAATAGTGTAGTAGAATTGTTATAAAATTATATGATTTTTTTTTTACAATATGGATTTAATATCTTTTTATGATTTGATAATATAATTATACTATATTCTTAAAGATATAATAATATGAGATACGGATTTACATAATATTATGAATTTATTCCTTAATGTTAAGATATTGAATTAGGTAATATATGATTCACTAATCTGTAATCTGTCTCTTTTTATATTGAAAATAATCATGTGATTGAGTAGAGATAACAATTATCTATAAATTCTTTCATTTAAGGAATAATTTTTAAATTGGCCCAAGTGTTGAATGCAGCACAATTTTCTTGTAAATAAAATGAGAAGAGATTTTGAATTTCAAAATTTTACTTCAAAACCACACTTAAAATGGATGTAGATTTTATTAAAAACTGGTATGGTGCCCGTGCGATGCACGGGGGCATTCATTATATATATATTTTTTAAAGATATTTTTGTATTTAAATTATCTCATACCATTAAAAATTTCATGAAAATAAAATTTATATGTTATTTAACACTTCCTTATGTACAACATTATTGATTTCATTCTTTGGCACGTAAAGTACTACATAGGTGTTCGAATTTATCCAAAATTGCATATTATTAGTTATTAGTTAACAAATTTTAAAAAAATTAAAGGATCTTATTTATTGAACAAAATTGAAGTAGAAAAAAAAGTAAATTTTTTTAGGGATTTTCACCCATTATTTATTTTAAATCTAATTCTAAATTTCAATTAAGAAAAATGGAAAACATCATTAGTTACTCCTGAAAATGAAATCGATTTTTCTACCAATAAATTGATTTTTTTATCAAACTAATTGATCCGAGTATTTTTATAAACCAAATAAAAAAATCATCAATTTTTCCTAAAATTCCAACCGAAATTTCCTAACATTGCACCAATTTTCTTACCAAACAAATTGAATTGAAACTAATTCTAATAAAAAATTGAAATAATTTGTTAATGTTTATGCAATTGTCTCTTTCTTAAAGAAAATTATATGAACTTAACCAAGAAAAAAAATGATATGAATTTACCAAAATCTCGGTAAAACATGGTTAAGAAAAAACATAAGAATTCAAAAAAATCAATGCCTTCAAATTTTAAAAAGTCGCACACAATTTTTCCTAAATAATTGGATAAGGTGACTATAAATATCAAAGATGAACCGCTTTTGTTACCAAAAAACATGGACACAATTTTGAATGTACATCCCGTTCAAATATCAGTTTTATTTTAAAATAAAAATTGCACGTGATTTTATCCAATTTACACACTTTTTTTGAAAAAAAAAATATTCAGTAATATTGGAAGAATTTGTTAAGAATTATACAACTATTTATTTCTTAAATTTGTACCAAATTTGCAAGGTTTTTAAATTAATTTGTATTTAGAATTGTTTTCATAAATTATTGACACATTTTTTGCATAAGAATCTCCAAATTGTTAAAAAAGAGATATGATTTAAATTTTGGTAAAAAAATAAAATATGATACGAAAAAAATTGAATTCAAATTTTGCCATAAGAATCTCCAAATTTGTTGCCAAAAAAATAGGATTCAGATTTTGTTACTATAGATTCATATCTGTTTTTTCGAACTTTCCATTAATAGTAAGTCAAACATTATATTTATTTGGTCAAACTTTCTATTAATATATTTTTCCAACAACCTCTTTATATATATATAGATATAGATATAGATATAGATATAGATAAATTCAACAAAACCCATAATTTTAGGGGCATTTAATGCTACCCTATTTTAGATTTAAAAAATTTAAAAACTTTCTAAATATGGTGTGCAATTAATTATGAGTTGATTTTTCCTCCTACTAATTCGAGTAAATGGGATAACTTTTTATATAAGTATAGATTTTATAGATTAAGGTATCGACATTATTTTATATCTATTTATATTTTGTTGAAAAATATATATGGAAAAAGGAAAAAAGAGAAAAAGTCAGAATATATGAATAGTGTATTTTTTTATTGGTAAATGATAAAAATAATTTGGATATATATTCAAATCCACACTTAATCCTACACAAGATCATTAAAATGCCTAACATAATACAGAGAACATATATTAAATTAAGTATACAAACCATATTAAAAGCCACCATTATAGTCTACATATCTATATATATATAATTACTAGCTCTTCTGCATTTAATTAAACCTCATAAATTATACCTAGGTGGCATTTTCCCGCCAATTTCCGTTACTTTTCATTTGTTTTTATTTTTTATTTTCTTTATTAAAAACAACTCAATTTTCTTGAAAAGTTGAGTGTTTTAAAAATGACAAGCAATTAATTCTGCAATTATAACGAGTTAATGAAAATGAAAATGTTTCCATATTTTTTTAAACATATTAATTACTCTCAACAGTTCTCATTAATTATTTTTTTAATAGAAATTATTTTTTCTATGCATAGTAAACTAAACGAAATTAATGAAAATAAATAAAAAATTAATTATTAACAAATACAACTAACCAAAAAAATAAATTTAAAATAAAATAAAAAATCAGATGCTCCATCTCCGGTCAATTCCTGCAAAAATAACAAAATTAAAGATCAACTAAAACAATTAATTATAATTATCAAATTACAATTCCAAAAGTTGAGATAATTACTGTTTCGAAATTATCTGAATAGGAGGCGAAAATCTGAAAAAAAGATGCGGGAATCCAAAATTTTAAAAAATTCTTTATATAAATTCCAAGCATCAACATCCCATATTTTTTTCTTATATCATAACTTTAATAATAATTAAATATTAAATATCTCATATTTTTTGCAAATCTCATCACTCATAAAAAATAAATATTATTTATAGTCGGTCAAATCAACTATGCCATATTCTTTTCTCATTTCATAACTGTAATAAAAACTAAATATTAAATATCCAATATTTTTTGCAAATCTCATTACCCTAAAAAAAAAATATATATATATATATATGTATAATTGCTGGCTCATTAGTATTTAATAAAACTTATTAAATTATACCTATGTGGCAACATAGTTTTTTCCATCGAAAAATTGTTATTTCTTATTTATTTAACCTCTCATTTAATTATTAGATATCAAAACACTAATCACTTCAAAATTACAAAAATTATTTTAAATTTTTTATTTACTTACGGTTGACCATATAATGTGTTGACTATTTAACTTGAGTAGATGTTATTGTTGTGGTTACATTTAAATTAACTTCTTTTGGAAATAAAAAACGTATTTGAAATTCCTAAATAAATAACAAATAATTCACAACAAAAGATACATACCAAAATATACATTACATCCAATATGAAAAACGTATTTTTAAAAAATAAAGATTTCAGCTCATTTAATTGTAAATTTAGCAAAAATCATTAATCATTATATGCATACAAATAACTCACAATATTTTATTTATATATCTGTGCAAATGCACAAGCCGAATACTAGTAAAATTTAATGGCTCTTGCAACACATTGGCCCGACGCCCACATGTGAAGGAAAATAAAACCAGAAATCATTAATAACCGATTTGATGGTTCATATATAACCTTTCAGTGAAGGAAGCAAACAAAATTTGAGCAAGTACAATATTAATAAATATGCAAATAATTACTTAACATTTCTTTTTTTGGTCCCATTCTTTCATTTTTTCTCCCACGAGAACGAGTGGAGAGTCTTTTATGGTTTTTATGATTTTTACTTTTTAAATATTACATTTATATCATACATTCTACACATTATTTGAAATATTTATTTTTATTGTAGCGCTATATAGTATAGCTAGGGCCCCTAGACTTGATTTGACTCGTTAAGGTTCGAAAAGAATTTTTTTTTTATAATTTTATAAATTCAGTTCGTTAAAGTTCGAGCGCGATTACCGACTAGTTTAGTTAACGAGTCGAGCTTTCTTCAGCTTGTTAAAGGCTCGAGCTCGAGCTCAAGTACCATGAGTTTGAGCTCTGCTCGTCTCAGTTGCTTTACATCTCTAACCTAAGTATTGCAAATCCAAGTTATATAGTTTCATGTAATTGGTATATTAATTCAAATATGTATTTCAATGTGTGTTTAGCTTAGCTTTATAAGGACTTGAAATTCAATAAATTGTCCAAACAAGTACAAACACTCTCATAAAGCTAGATTAGACATATAGAGTTGACAAAACATACATACATGATGAACATATAGATGCCCACTCATATATTATGCTATGCATCCATTATACATTGTTATTAATGACCTAAAGGGAGGAGAAAATGGGAAAACCAGGTAAAGTAGCTCCGGCATCAACTATGAAGAGGTTGCCCGTGACATGCTCGGATGAGTCGTGAATTAAATACCGTAAAAGTGAGGTTAAAGCGGGATTTGATGTCCCGAACGATCTCAGAGGGACAGTCCTTTGTTCCACGTTTTTTAGCCATTGTTTTTCGACAAGGCCTTGAGTTATCTCGGATTTGAATAGACCAGGAGATATGGAATTGACCCGTATTTTGTATGCCCCTAACTCTAGGGCCATAACCTTAATGCCATATGAAATGCAAGGAGCATTAGAAAGGGGAATTAGAAAATGTAGGCCTTTAATTTGTTACACTGTCATTGCCCTTCTAATAAGTATACATACTTTTTAACTCAAATTTCATATTTTTTAATATAATATAAATGCAAGTATGAAATTTAATAATATGAAAATGTTATATTGTCATAAAGTATGAGTGTTAGATGAACAACAATTTTTGAGAAATCCAAACACCCTTTTTGTTTGTTTCTTGAATTAATTTCTATATAATTCCGTGTAAGCAAAGCAAACAAGTTATATATAATTAATGAGCAAAGGTGTCAAAGTAATGCTGTCCTTTTTGTTACTCAAATCTCTAAAATTCAGTAGTTGGAAATTAATCATCTGCGACTTAAAAATGATGAGGAGAGTGTATTGAATTGAGAGTTAAGTGATATTTTAAGATTTTTTAAGATTTAAAATAAAATTTTCAGATTTTAGAGGAATTCTATGAAATTTTTCTGGGGGAGGTATTTGAACTGAGATTTCGTGTAAGGGTTTTTGTTTAGAAATCCCACCAAAGCTTAAAAAATCTTAACAAAACTCAGTGTCAAATAAATTAAATATCTCATGATTTTGTAAGAGGCGACTTCATGATCTGTATGAATTTAACACTTTATATACCTAGTCATATTTGCTAAGTACATTAGAAAAGATGGTTACATTATTTTCGTAATTCTGATATCAATATTTTTTTCTTTTGAATATAAAAGATGTAAATATTATGATTTAGTTAATATAATCTTGGGAAAAAAAAAAAATGCATGAATCACAAACAACAGTTATCAAGAAAACACACTTTTCTCCCACAAATTTACATGAAATGTTATAATCTAAAGAAACAATATAAATAAAACTACAACAATATTTGATAACATAACTTTAAAAAAATCGTGATTTTGAACAAGTTGCTACGAGAAAGAACCAAGTTTAACTTTTGAAAATTCTCCCCAATTTTGATGATATATTCAATGAAACTATTTTTCATGCTTAAAAAGTCTCCAATATATACTTTCTAAAGACTTTTCAATTAGAAGTTGCAATGGAATACTTTTTAGACTTTTGTTTGAAATCCTTAACAATGTTAGAAATTAAAGTCTTAATTCATGTTACCTTAGTCATTGCGTTGACCGCGGTTTTGGAGCAAACATAAGCGAGTCCACCTGGCAGATGGCCTCGTTCGAGGCCTGCAATTGAGGAGATGTTGATAACCGAGCCACCATTCTTAGAATCGCGCATTAGGGCACAAACATATTTCGAGACCAACCAAGTTCCGGTTAAGTTTGTCTTAATCGTGTCGTTCCATTCATCTTCCGATAAATCCAATGGTGTATGCACCCGACCTTCAATATACAAGGTATACATACATAATATATACACATCTAATTGTTGGGAAAAATACGTTGAATTTTCCATAAAGTCGGATCTATAAAAGTGAAATAAAAATAAAAGTTGGACACACCAATTGATAACGGAGTTCGGCCAATAATGCCTACATCTCCGGACTACTGCAGATATTTTATTAGAAATAAAAAATACACTCGTGTTTACAAAACACTCTCGAAACCACTCACAACTCACAACTCAAATACACACAGAAGCTAAAATATTTGCTTTCTGCTCCCTTTCTTTTTTCTTTTTTTGGTTGGTATTGGATGTGTATCAGAACCCCTCTATTTATAGAGGAGAATTGCACCATTCTTTCCACAAATGTGTACTCCATATTTTAAAAAATTCAGCACGAGGGCTGCTGCAATTGGACAAGAAATGTGGGCTATTTTCTTTTTTTCTTCTTTGGTTGTTGGCCGCAGCCATTTTTGACCAACAATCTCCCACTTGAGAACTGATTTCAATCTGTCCTCACACCTCAATTACTGCAGTAGTCTTCTCCGGTCTGTTATTCTAGCAGGCCAACTGAAGTTGAACACAACTTCAGTTTGTCAATAGTCACCACCTTCGTTAGCATATCTGCTGGGTTTTTGCTTCCTACAATCTTCTTCAATGTCAACACTTCATCCTCGAGAAGAGATCTAATGAAATGATATCGTATATCGATGTGTTTAGTTCTGGAGTGAAACACTGAGTTCTTTGCCAGATGTATTGCACTCTGACTGTCACTGTGCAAGACACTCTCTTTTTGAGTGAAACCCAACTCTGCTAACAATCCTTGAAGCCATATCAATTCTTTACTGGCTTCTGTCACTGCTACATACTCAGCCTCTGTAGTGGATAGAACAACAATCTTTTGTATCCGCGACATCCAACTAACAGCTGTAGCTCCGACAGTGAAAATATAACCGGTGGTGCTTCTCCGGTGATCAACTTCACCTCCAAAGTCTGCATCTACGTATCCCTGTAACTTTAGATCTCCTTTTCTAAAATACAGACATTTTTCTGTTGTGCCCCGTAGATATCTCAAAATCCATTTGACTGCTTCCCAATGAGCTTTTCCTGGATTTGACATAAACCTGCTCACAACTCCCACTGCATGACCAATGTCTGGCCTCGTACAGACATCAAACTTCCAATGGCTGAAGCATAAGGAATCTTAACCATAAACTCTTCTTCTTCTTTTGTTTGAGGAGACTGATCCTTGGATAGACGAAAATGACTGGCCAAAGGTGTACTGACTGGTTTGGCCTTGTCCATGTTAAATCTTTGCAAAACACGGTTGATGTACTCCGCCTGAGATAACTGCAAAACTCCCTTTTGCTTATCTCTCGTGATTTGCATTCCAAGAATCTTCTTTGCTGGGCCTAAGTCCTTCATGTCAAATTCTTTTGACAACTGCATCTTTAATTTTCTGATGTCTTTCATATCTGATCCTGCTACTAACATGTCATCGACATAAAGTAGCAAGATGATATAGCTGGACTCATACTTCTTAAAGAAGCAACAGTGATCGGCATTGCACTTCTGGAAACCTTCCTTGTGCATGAAGCTTTCGAACTTCCTATACCACTGTCTTGGAGCTTGTTTCAGGCCGTACAAGCTCTTCTTCAATTTGCACACCATATCCTTCTTTCCATCTGAAAAACCTTCAGGTTGGTGCATATAGATCTCCTCATCTAGGTCTCCGTGAAGAAATGCAGTCTTCACGTCTAATTGCTCTAGGTAGAGCTCTTCACTAGCCACAATACTTAACACAGTCCTGATAGTATTGAGCTTTACAACTGGAGCAAAGATTTCAGTATAGTCAACTCCTTCTTTCTGCTGAAATCCTTTGACAACCAGTCGGGCTTTGTATCTCCTGGAACCATCATGGTCTTCCTTTACTCGATACACCCATTTGTTATGAAGTGCTTTCTTTCCCATAGGTAACTTGACTAGTTCCCATGTCTGATTCGATATCAAGGACTTCATCTCGTCCTTCATGGCAAGCTCCCACTTGCTAGCATCTGTGGTTTGACAAGCTTCCATGTAATTTTCAGGCTCCCCTTCATCAGTCAGCAACATGTAGTCCATGTATCTCCTGTTAGGCACATGGGGCCGAGAGGACCTTCTCAATACAGGAGCTGGAGTAGGAGGTTTTGATTGCACTTCACTTTCTTCAATTGATTTCTCTGACTGAGGACTCCTCATTATAGGACTGTCTGGGATATCTTCCAGCTCAGCATAAACTGGCCCACTCGCTTCTGAGTTGCTGGCACCTGTATTATGCCGGTCCTTGTACATCACTCTTTCATTAAATATGACATCTCTGCTGCGGATCATCTTTTTGTTTTCATCATCCCATATGCGGTAGCCAAACTCATCTTCACCATAACCAAGAAAAGTACATTTCTTTGATTTTGGATCAAGTTTGTTTCTACCTTGATCACTGATGTGCACATATGTTACACACCCGAAAACTCTAAGATGTGAGAGTTTTACTTCTTTTCCGCTCCATACCTCTTCTGGTAACTTGTGATCCAGTGGTACCGATGGACTTCGGTTGATCAAGTAAGTTGTTGTGTTGACTGCTTCTGCCCAGAACTGCTTTGGTAGGCCTGACTGCACATGCAAGCTTCTAGCTCTTTCAGTCAACGTTCGATTCATACGCTCAGCTACACCATTGTGTTGAGGCGTACCAGGCACGGTTCTCTCCATTCTGATCCCATGCTCATAGCAAAACTTCTTGAATCTGGTGGTTACATATTCACCACCGTTGTCGGATCTGAGCTTCTTGATCTTCAAGCCTGTCTCATTTTCCACCATAGCTTTCCAAATCTTGAAAGCCTCAAATACTTCTGACTTGTGTTTCAGAAAGTAAACCCATACCTTTCTGGAATGATCATCGATAAAAGTCACGAAGTATTGCTTCCCACCAACGGATGGGACAGTCGTTGGACCCCAAACATCAGAGTGGATGAGCTCAAGCTTCTCCTTCTTTGGAGTTCTTCTACTTGTCTGAAAGCTGACTCTCTTTTGCTTTCCAAGTATACAACCTTCACACATGTCAATTTCCATTGACTGGAGGCCTGGTAATTTTCCTTTTGAGTGAATGATCTTCATCCCCTTTTCACTCATATGGCCAAGTTTTTGGTGCCATAGATTGGGATTTTCATTTGCTGCAACTGCAATCAGATGACATGCTCCTGTGGTCTTGTAAAGAGTACCACTCTTTTTGCCTCGAGCAATTGTCATCGCACCCTTTGAAATCTTCCAATCATCACCATGGAAGATTGTCGTGTAGCCTTCACTGGCTAGCTGGCCCACGGAGATTAAATTCTTCGTCAGGTCGGGAATATGTCTGACATTTTTCAATTCCCATACAGACCCGCTCAACTTGATTTTTATTGCACCTTTCCCTACAACCTCACATGATTGCTCATTACCAAGGTAAACTTTACCAAGATTTCCAGGAACATAATTCTCGAATAGTTCCTTCTGTGATGTAGCATGAAAGGATGCTCCAGAGTCTAACACCCAAGACTCTTCTCTGTTCTCCAAAGAACATATCAGCATATCTCCTCCTGGGGATGAGGCAACATTTGCCTCTTCTTTTGTCTTGTGACCCTTCGGTGCACTCTTGCACTGGTTTTTGTAGTGCCCGGTCTTCCCACAATTCCAGCACTCGATCGACTTCGAGGTCTGGGAACTACGATGATTTCTGGACTTGGATCTTCTTCCCTTTGATTTGTTGTGTCTGCTTTCTTTGGTTGAACTTCTTCCTCTTAACTCTGTATGCAATACAGAAGAGGTCGATGGTTCACCCGACTCTCTCCGCCGGATCTCTTCACTGAGAACCAAATTTTGGACATCATCAAATATCAACTTATTGCTTCCCGATGAGCTACTCACAGCCGTGACCGTAGCGTTCCAACTTTCTGGTAGGGAAGACAAAAGTATTAAAGCCCGTACTTCATCATCGAACTCGATCTCAACTGAACTCAACTGGGTTGTGACGGTGTTGAGCTCATTGAGATGATGTGCCACCGAAGCACCTTCGGTCATCCGAAGGTTGAACAATCGCCTCATCAAATGAACTTTATTTGAGGCTGATGGTTTCTCGTACATGTTGGAAAGAGCCTTCATGAGGCCTGCTGTCGTCTTTTCTTTTGCAATGTTAAAAGCAACATTACGGGATAACGTCAGCCGGATGGCTCCAAGAGCTTGTTTGTCAAGGAGACTCCATTCATCCTCCTTCATGTCCTCTGGCTTCTTTCCTGTGAGTGGTTGATACATATTCTTTTGGTACAGATAATCCTCGATCTGCATCTTCCAAAAGCCAAAGTCCGCACCATCGAACTTTTCAATTTTCATTTTTCCTTTGTCTGCAGCCATTTTTTCGACTCTGATCTGACTTCTCTGCCGGATCGTTTCTATAATTTTTGTGAACTACCATGTTTCAAAACACGTCGGTAGATAAATTGTAGCGCCGACAAAATTGGTATTATTCACGTTTTTCAACGGAATAGTAACACCACACAAAAAAATACAGAATTAACAACCTGGCTCTGATACCAGTTGTTGGGAAAAATACGTTGAATTTTCCATAAAGTCGAATCTATAAAAGTGAAATAAAAATAAAAGTTGGACACACCAATTGATAACGGAGTTCGGCCAATAATGCCTACATCTCCGGACTACTGCAGATATTTTATTAGAAATAAAAAATACACTCGTGTTTACAAAACACTCTCGAAACCACTCACAACTCACAACTCAAATACACACAGAAGCTAAAATATTTGCTTTCTGCTCCCTGTATTTGGTTGATATTGGATGTGTATCAGAACCCCTCTATTTATAGAGGAGAATTGCACCATTCTTTCCACAACTGTGTACTCCATATTTTAAAAAATTCAGCACGAGGGCTGCTGCAATTGAACAAAAAATGTGGGCTATTTTCTTTTTTTCTTCTTTGCTTGTTGGCCGCAGCCATTTTTGACCAACACTAATGTGAGAATATATAGCTAGTTCCATAACATGATTTGATAAAAAGATTCTCAATTTTCTAAACATGAGAAAATAAAATAATCGAGAATCTCGAGTAACTGGCCAGCGGCTAAAGTAGTTAAAGTCGTGTTGAATTCCGAATGGGTCCTATAGAGAGCCCATCTATTCCTTATAATCTTCAATGAAAACAAAAAAAACAAAAAATAATGAAGCCATTATAATCTTCCAAATATTTTATTTCTATTGTGAAAATATAGTAGTAATTGGTGTTTGTGTTGATAGTCATACTCATATTATAAAATGCTAAAAATAAACAAGCCAGGTGAGGTGCTTGGCCCCAACATAGATTAGAGAGAGAAATAAGATCTTCTATTCCAAAACTGTTTTTTATATTTAATTTTCATTTAATTAGATTAGATGAATAACATGTATCACAATATGCCACTTTTATACTCATATCGTTTCTCCAATTAAATGAAATATTAATTGAAATCAATGACCATTGAATTTTGAACCTATCTATACATGCACTTAATTAATCTGAGGACATGAAATTCCTCATTTATAACTTTCATTGTGGTAGATGATAAGCCATGTCAGTATCAAATTTATTGACAAATCTCTAAACAATATGAGATTTTATTTTATTTTATTCGATTGCAAAATCCAGATTTTCAGTAAATTATGTTATTAATTTAATTATATATGTAATATACAATGTATTTATTTCCCTCTTAATTACCTCTAACACCGGCATTATTGATCAGAGCATCGATTCTCCCAAACGCCGCCCAAGCCCGCCGGACGGAGGCCTCGATTGCGGCGCCGCCGCCGCCGATGTCTAGCTCCACGGCCACCGCCATGGTCCGGTCTCGGCTCGTTTCGCCGGATCCAGCGCCGGAGACGATCCCGGCGTTTATCTCGTCGCAGAGCGTTTGCAGCCGATCGATCCTCCGAGCGGCGGCTATGACCCGGCAGCCGGCTCCGGCGAGGTCGAGACAGAACTCCCGGCCCAATCCCGAGGAGGCACCGGTCACCATCACCACTTTGTGCTCGAGCTTGCGCCACGGCTCAAGCTCGCCGGCGACCGTCACTTTTTTCTCCATTTTGTGCGTTTTGTGATGAGAAAGTGTTTGTGTGTGTGTGTGTGTGTTTTACGGGATAATTGCAATTTATGCCCCTTTAGGTTGGACTAATTTGGAAAGACTCCCTCTCTGAGAAACGAAAAAAAAATAAAACATGCCAATAGAAAAATTAAAAAAAACATGCCAATAAGTCAATTTAATTATCTAACTTTCGTTCACCGACCACCCTATTTTCACCAGCTTTTTCAAATTTCAACTGGGTGTTCGGTAAATCTACAGCTCATAGTTATTTTGAGATTATAACTAAATGATATAATAAAACTATTTCCTAAATTTAATTGACAAACTAGTTGAAGTATATACTTTAATGCATTTTTAAAAAAAAATTAATGATTTATTTAAAAAAACAAAAAAACAAAAAAACAAAAACGAACTACTATAATTTCGAGATTTTTTATCATATCAAACTAAATTTATTTGAGTAAAAAATATTTTAAGCTAACTAAATACAATATAGCTTATGATGGTTACCAAATAAAATGTTTTCATTTCACTAAAGGCTCATTAAATTTCAATAAAGAATCTTATGGACCCATATTTTTTGAAACTCGACCAAAAAGAAAAAAGCCCCAATCTAAATATATTACTACTAGACTAGAGGAAATTGCACCCTGTACAACACCAAACTTTTTATTGTAAAATTACCACATGCATAATATTAATTACAAAATTACTAGATATATAAAAAATGAGCAATTAAAGTTTACAATTATTTAATTAGCGTAATTAAAGGTAGACTTTATCTCTCCCCTTATCTCTTCTTCTCCATTCTTCTCTTTCCTTTCTCTTCG